CCTGTTGCTTGGGACCAGTACTATTCAGTGTCTTCATCAATGACATAGACAGTGGGATTGAGTCCATTGTCAATGAGTTTGTGGATGACACCAAACTGAGTGCTGCAGTTGACATGCTTGAGGGAAGGGATGACATCCAGAGATGGCAGGCTTGAGGGGAGGGGCAATGTCAACCTCATGAAGTTCAATAAGGCCAAGTGCAAGGTCCTGTACCTGGGTTGAGGCAATCTCCAACAGCAGTACAGACTGGAGGATGAATGGATTGAGAGCAGTCCTGTAGAGAAGGACTTGTGGATACTAGTAGATGAAAAAGTTATGTATAATTCAGCAATGTGTGCTTTCAGCCCAGAAAGCAAACATATCCTGGGCTGCATCAAAAGAAGCATGGCCAGTAGTTCAAGGGAGGGGATTGTCCCTGACTATTCTGCTCTGGTGAGACCCCACCTGGAGTACTGCGTTCAGTTCTGCAGTTCAGCAAAAGACATGGACCTGTTGGAGCAAGTCTAGAAGAAGGCCATGAAAATTATCAGAGCTAGAACACCTCTCCTACGAAGAAATGCTGAGAGAATTGGGGTTGTTCAGATGGGAGAAGAGGTTCCAAGAAGACTTTATTGCCACCTTTCAATACATAGAGGGGGCTTAGAAGAAAGATAGAGAGAGACTTTTTACCAGGACCTGTAGTGACAGGACAAGGGGCTTTAAACTGAAAGAGGGTAGATTTAGATTAGGTATAAGAAGGACATTCTTTACTGTGAGGGTGGTGAGATGTTAGAACAGGTTGCCCAAGGAAGTTGTGAACGCCCCATCCCTGGAAGTATTTAAGGCCAGGTTGGATGAGGCTTTGAGCAACCTGATCCAGTGAAAGATGTCCCTGCCCACGGCTGGGGGGTTAGACTAGATGATCTTTGAAGGCCCCTTCCAACTCAAACCATTTTGTGATTGTATGACCCTGGGAAATGGAGGCGGAACTGCATTTAGGGCCCAGAAGGTAGTTTTCCCTCAGATTCCCAGCAGGAGTCAGGGTATAAGCATGTAAGCACACCAGGGTTTGGCTCTAGATGGTTAGCTATTATTTTGGTTAATTAATTTGATGATATTTTACTTTCCCAGGCCTGAGGCACCCTGGCAGACCATGTATGTGGCTGGGGCTGAGGGGTGGACAGTCTTTGCCCAGAGGTGATCCTTCCCCTCAGCAGCCCGGGACAGGTGCTTTGCCTCTCTGCACCTCTCCTCCCTGCTCTGTAAAATAAGGGTAACACTGAGTCCTTCCAGAGAGCCACTGCTCCAGCATGCAGAATTTTTTTACTCTCATTTGCAATGTTTTATCACAAAACAGGAAATCCCATGCAATGGGTGCTGGGGGGAAGCAGAAAGCCCAACCTGCTGGTCTGCTCCTCTACCTTCTCCCCAGGCAGGGAGTGCTTAGGAAAAAATGCTATTTTCCTCCTTTATTTCTGTTTTCCCATCAGCCAGGTCCAAGTTTAGCAGCAAAAGCAGATGATACAATTTTTGAGCCATTTGTTTGGCACTCAGAGGAAACACATGGCCTACAAAATGAAGGGAAAGGCACAATTGCTTCTCCTTCAGGCTTATACATGGATGGCTGATCCACCCACTGACTTCTCCGAAGGGTCAAAGGAGGAGAAACCTCTCACTGCAGCCTTATGTTAACACACTGTCAGGGAGAGCACCCTGAAGACTGCAAGTCAGCAAGATCCCAGCCTAATATTGTGCAAATAGCAAATGAAAAGGTCAAAACATGGTTACTTTAATAGAGTGACCATGCAAGAGCAGTGAGTAACAAGATCCTCCTGTTCCTCAAGAGAAACAAATCTGTGCTAAGCTGATTGCTCAACTTCAGTAACAGTCTACAAGACTCACGAGGCATGCACAACTGTAAACAAATGTGAGACAAGAAATATGAAAATGTCACTTGTCACAGATTACAGGACTTGTAAACCTTGGAAACCAAGTCTCCATTGCTCACTAACCTCTGCCTGTGCCAAGGTTATTTCTGTGTTACTGGGGTCCCTTTATGTCAGGTAAGTGGGTATTTGTCCCCAGTGGCAAACATACAGGTCTTTTGCCATTGGGGGGAGGGTGAAAAGGCGTTCTCTAACCTGAGTTTGGTAACTCATGTGAAAATCGGAGAGAAAACAAGGGAATGTGTAGCTATATGTGGTTTCATGACAAGCAGTAGGCAAGGGAGTCCTCAGGGTTTGCTGCTGCTGCCACTGAACCCCCTAAGTGACGACCACTGAGTTGAGCAGAACAGGATCAGTCACTGATTACTCTGTAGAAGCTGCTTCACCCTGATGGGACTACTCACACATGCAAACCAAACATTCAAAGAGCTGCGCGGGGGCAAGGCCTCTGTAAATGTTTGGAGTGGAGAAGCAAGGGAAGGAGATGTGCGCTGCGTTTCATGCTGTATTTCAGAACGTACTGCTTGAAAATATGCATCTATGGAGAAAAGAGCACTTCTACCAATGGCAAACACAAACTCAGCATTCCACATTCAGGCCTCCTATTGAATGCTCATTCCCCAACAGGGACTTCAGCTTTTGGCTCACATGTAATATTTGTCATATATTGTATTCCATACTTCTTTGCTGTGCAGCTGCATAAATATCAGACTTAGAAGAACATAGTTTAATCACTTGAAAACACTTGAAAACATGACTTTATGAAGTGATGAACAAACCATTCCTATTCCTTGCTTTTCAAACCAACAATGCTGAAATGTCCAGCACAGATGTCTCATTTTCACTTCCAGATGTTTTCTGTATTGGGTGGCAATACTCAGTGGTAGTTTTATTTGAGGAATTGTTTTATATTAGGGCATGTAATACAAGAAGTCATAGAGAAATACAGAAGCCATTTAATTAAAAAGGCTATGAGATGTGATGGTGTCCTGGTTTTGCATATAGTACAAAAGGAGAAATAAATGACTTCCTATTCCAAAGCACCAGAATGTCATCATTTGATGATGAGACAAAATCTAAGAGAAATAAATTAGAAAATATTTTGAGGATACTGGTCTGATTTCACACTCTAAGAATCAGTGATATTTTTGCTCCTAAACCACAGAATTTATTTAAAAATACCCTTTATCCACTGCTTTTATTTCTAATGATGATTAAGAACACCACAAAGATCTCCCTCACTCCTTCCTTAAAAACTAGCAAACCTGCCTTGAAATGTACGTTCCACATGCACAAAGTGGAAGTTAAAACTTCTGCTTGCAGACTGCTAAAACTAGTAGGCAAAATTTCTTCTGGGGGCCAGAGGTTATATCTATTAAGCTTTATTCCTTGCAGATGTAATTGCAGCTATTTTGTTTCAGGGGAGTCCTAGAGAAAGGTTCCATGCAGGAATGACCTCCCAAGCACACACAGCTGCTGTGACATTGCAGCACTTCCATATCTCAACATTTTTTCTTCTGTCCTTCAGCAGTATGGCTCAGATATTCCTTTTGTTCAAATATAGGATTTAATTTTCAGCACAGTCAAAAGACCCATTTAAAGTCCCATCTCAAGAGAGAAATTGTAATGTTGACAATTTTATCAAGATCCATGTTTGTTTGTGTTTTCCTGAAAGCACCTTACAAAAATTGAGAAAAACTACATCCACTGGCTCCCCTTCCCCAGCTAGGTGGGTGACCTTATCGTAGAAGGATATCAAACTAATTAAACAGGACTTTCCCTTTGTTAACCTATGTTGACTGTGTCTGATGATTGAACTGTCCTTCAAACACCTTTCAATAGCACCCAGTATGATCTTCGTAGGCATCCTCAATCAAAAGGTTTGCCTTCTGATTTCATCCAAGAATGCAGAATAACTGCTTATCTTTTGCCTATGTTCCTGCCTCCTCCATCTCATATCAAGTATTGCAGAGGATAAAATCACAGAATCATAGAATCATAGAATGGTCTGGGTTGGAAGGGACCTTAAGGATCATCTAGTTCCAACCCCCCCTGCCATCAGTAGGGACACCTGCCACTAGACCAGGTTGCTCAAAGCCTCATCCAGCCTGGCCTTGAACACTTCCAGGGAGTAACAGCCACAGCTTCTCTGGGCAACCTGTTCCAGTGTCTCACCACCCTTACAGTGAAGAACTTCTTCCTAATATCTCATCTAAACCTGCCCTCTTCCAGTTTAAAGCCATTACCCCTTGTTCTGTCATTAACTGCCCTTATGAAAAGTCCCTCCCCAGCTTTCCTGTAGGTCCCTTCAGGTACTGGAAGGTCGCTATAAGATCTCCCCAGAGCATTCTCTTTTTCAGGCTGAACAGCCCCAACTCTCTCAGCCTGTCCTCATGGGAGAGGTGCTCCAGCCCTCGGATCATCCTCCTGGCCCTCCTCTGGACTCGTTCTAGCTGCTCCATGTCTTTCTTGTGCTGGTGGCTCCAGAACTGGACTCAGTACTCCAGGTGGGGCCTTACAAGAGCAGAGTAGAGGGGGAGAATCACCTCCCTCGACCACAAAATAATTCACAGGCTCTGAACAGAAATACATTTTTTATGGCTGCAAATTTCCAAAGGTCCAGTGTGTACACCCTGAAATCTTTCTTTTTTTTTCTTGCAAATTTCCTTGACTTTTCAAAAGAAAACAAAGATACAAAACACTCACTGAAAGCATCAAAATATACTCTGAACAATTTGTAAAGACAGCAAATTATTGTTTTATTCATGAACATAAAATAAGTGTAAATATTTGTGGCCTCCAAGCTTATATTAAAATAGTAACATAAATTTCTCAGAATATATCTAAGGCCCACAGAAGTCACTGGAACAGCTCTAGCAAATTTCATGGTCTTTGGAAAGGGACAAGAATTAATTTGCTTAATGGATTCATTGGATCAAATAACTTATCACTTGATAGGTGATTTGGACGGAGCTATGGCTCAAACTGATTCGATTCCTTCCACATTCACACACACAGAAACACAGTAAAATGCTGGAGTTTCCCATTGTATGTCTTCTGAAAATAATGGCTCTGTTAGGGATTCCTCCACCTCTTCTTCAGATAACTGGTAAATGCATGCAGGACTGCTTCTTGAAGTCTGTCACTGTGGAACACCCATAAAGGGACGAACTGCAGGACACATGCCTTCAGAATAATCAAGCAAAAACAATAAAAAGGCAAAGGGGTTTAGGAACCTCTTGAAAGAAATTAACTGAGTGTTCAGAAAGGTCATAGAAAACAGTAAATGCAAAAGCTTTTACTTTATACTTTCAGTATGCATGTTTTTCTTAGAGGGAGATGTTAATTCCTCTCAGTTTTCAGCAAATCTGTTCTCATCCCTGAACTTTCATTAAATACTCATCAGCTGCCATGTATAAATATTTATTCTATTTAGTTAGCTTGCTGTCCTAAAGAAACTGTGTTTATTTGATAGCACATTTTGGTTTTATGTCCTTTCCCACTAGTAACTTTTGAATCTGCTGGACAATTTCTGTAAAGGAGTAGGAGTCTCAGAAATGTTCCTAATAGCGTCACAAAAACAGGCAGCTGCAAGAAGGATAAAGACTAACCATATATCAAACTGAGCTCAGCTCGAGACACAAAAAATGGAGAAAGTCACACTGTGCTGATACCACTGTACTTTACTTGTTCATTCCTTCCTCACTTCATAATTTACTGGTGCTGTATTAACCTTAATAACCTATGCACTCTTTCTTGTTTGATGACCTGAAATCGATAAAAAAAACCCCGCTGAGCCCAGAGAGCCTTGCTTCAGCCTTTGAGACACATTCACACACTATGAAATTCAATTACCAGCATTTCATGGGCTAAACATCCAAAAATCTCATCTCCAAAGGTAACATAGTCCAGTGATTCACTAACAAACTCCTCTGCCGTCTTTGTAATAAGACCAGGTTTTTGGTACATTGTCATTGGAGTAGAAACACCGTAAGGAGCCACTACCTACAATAAGAAATCATAATAACAGTGTAATGTTACCTAACATTTACATAAGTCCATTCACTCTGCAGAATCCTACATCATCTGACAAATTCTAACAGATATTTGCAATGGATTAAGTAATTATGTGGAATAAGTAATGGTACTATGGTGGCATAAGGAAAAAAGCCTATAGCTGCATGCAGGGAAGAGAGAAATCTTTGACACGGTCACCTAAGCACTTCACCAAAGACAGCTATACTCTACAGATTTAGGCACCTCAGATATTCTTTAAATATTTGTTACAATGAAGGCAAATACGGCAAGATATAGCATCACCTGTATGATAATTCCCTTTTCCTTGTACTCTGCTTGTAATGCTTTGGAGAAAGTGCTTATAAAAGCCTAGAACAAAATAAAACAAAGTAACATTAGCACAGGAAACTAAGTACTTTCACATATGCTCACAAATGTGTGTAAATAGGTCCTTAACATGGCCAAGCATCATACAACCTAACGCACACTGCAGTGGTGAAAAACATAGAAATGAACATTTCAAGACACGCATTCTGCTGGTGCACATTGGGCAATGGCAAGATTTACTGTTTATCTGCACCAGAAAAGAGGGAGCCTGGCATTGAAACAAGTACTACAGCAGACTGGATTGAAAGCTTTGTCACATTTATGAAAATGCAGAGATATAAATGTCTGAGTCCCATTTATTCTAGCTATTGTTTCATGCAGCTCTCACCTCTGGCTAACACCTACCCTCCCAGTTCAAGGCTTACACTGCCGTTTCTCTTGTAATAAGAAGGGGAATGAAATATAAGACCTCCCCGGAGCCTTCTCTTTTCCACCGCCCCAACTCTCTCAGCCTGTCCTCATAGGAGAGGTGCTCCAGCCCTTAGATCATCCTCGTGGTCCTTCATAGCTTGAACTTCAGCTATGTTCAAGCAAATATTGTTAGAATTTTTAATTTGGAGCAAACTTGAGCTCTTCATTTTTATGAGCTCTGGGCTTTTAATTGAGAACAAAATTTCAAGGACAATCTATGAAGTCAGGTGACTCACCACCCTCCTACAAGGAGTTTTATTCTTGGTTTCATAAGCAAAATCTAGTGCTTTTGTAGATCTACAGTTTTGAGCAAACTAGCTAAGATAGCCTGGTGAAAATCATCGATTCTTGAAACAAGGACAGATTGTGAGCACTGGCATAATACTATTTAATCAAAGGCAAAAATGTTCTAATGATCAGATATACCTTCAGCTGATTTCATTTACATAGGTTCACTGTTTCTTAGTTCTCAGCTAACGCTCATTTACTTCACTTCATTATTTCAGTGGAGCAACACTGATTTGTGTTCTGAAAACCTGGCCCTATATTGCTGATACAAATGCTTTGGTGCACACTTGATGGGGATTTTTTATAAAGCAATGGGAACTACTTACCTTAGAAGCTGAGTACATTGTGTATAATGGACAAGGGAAAGTACCCAGACCAGAGGACAGGTTCAGAATAAGACCTCTTTGTCTGAAATTTAATTTAAATAGTTACATACAGTTTACATTTGGTAGTACTATAGTAAAAGCCTGCACAAGTTCAAAACAACTATTTTCCCCTAAAAGGCATAGATACTGTACTAGACTTCAAAAGACCCTATTTTTATGGTTTAGTTAGGTGCAATTAAGTCTAAAACAGCTAGGAATAATGTCATAAGTGAAATTCAAATGTCCGGTGCAATCAGAACCCTGGGAACATTGTACATGCTACTGTACATCTAACAGAGCAAAAACTGCCATCAGAGGAAAGATTTTATGCTCCTAAGTAATTGGTAAGTCCCCTTTGCTCATTAGCCAGCACATTCTTTTTCCTGCTCCACGCATCTGTTGTTTCAGCTTCCCTATTCACAACTCTATGTTCAAATCACTAAAAACAATCTATTCAGCAACAACCAGGAAAAAAACAAACTCAAACAATTAAACAGTAAGAACTCATTTTATTGCCAAAACAAAAAGCATACACTGTCCTCTAAAATGCAGTAGTTAACAATGTTTTCTAGAAACTGCCTCTGAAGACCTTAACTTCTGCTTTCAGGATCCCTGTATCTAAAACACACACTGTATTAAATGAAGAAAAAGGATCCTTAATTGCATGGCTGAATTAACCTCCATGATGTGGTACAGGTATTTCCAGACCTTGAAAACTATTATTCCAAGTACATCTACCACTCTTAGAAGAATATGGCAATATATTCAAATGCCATTTCTTGCTTAATTAGACCCATCACATGCCATTTTATTTCTGCAACACCTGCATGTTTTTGCTGGACACAGACCTGTATTTTATATTTTCTGTCTTGTTCTACAGTTGACAGACAATTTGTGGCAGTTCCCATCATTCATTCACACAGCACTAACAGCAACAGAAGAAAATCTTACTGATTTACATACTGTAAAGTGCAGAAGTTAATAATGAAAAAGCATAGCTACCACTGAATAAACTGGAGGTAGCATCAAAATACTATTGAAAGTTCTTGAAGAAATATTTTTACCTTGGCTCCATTTGTTTCAAAATTATTTTTGTCATCTGTAAGACAAATATATTAAAAATTATATTAATTCTCCCTCTTTCTGATTGTGTTTTTCAATTGATCTTGTTTTATGCACAAGATTTCCACTTGCTCAAGCCCCAATCATATGTATACAGTTCTAATAGCTAAAATGTGACACACTCATGGTTTTGGAAAACATTTTAGAAATGCTAACAGTGTGCAAATCATCTGAATTGTCAAAGATTCCAAAGGTGAGTCTTCTAAGTAGCAAAAGTCTTATGCTTATCCAAAGTTTTTCAGCAGTATCTGAATTTCATCATTCTTCAATACAGAATCATAACTATAAGGAGAAAGCTAACTTCATAGAGTTTTTGCATTTTCACTTCTGGCTCTACCTGGATCAGAAATAGTAGAAAATTAAGAGAAGAAAACTTTTATTCTGTTACAAAATAAATATTTTTTGATGATAATTATTTAATCATGCACTCTTTATTTTAACAGTAGACTTAATCACACTTGTGATTTTTAAAGTGCAATTAAATCTGGTTTTAGTTAAGAAATCTGCTTCTGTTTGTTATATTTGAAGAGTGTTATTGACATTAAGCCTAAGTCCCTAGGGAATTTATACTCATACTATTGACTTTTTATAAAACCACACATAATGTATGAATCTGAGGATAAGAGTGGGACTTAAAAAGGGCAGTAATGAAAAGTAGTGCAAAAGGAATTATGCATCTTAATTCAGTTCTTGTTAATTCCCTGTTTTCAGCAGCATCATGGTGTGAAACAGGGTAGTAGAAGCAGGGTGAAGTTCACAAGCTTTGTCTTCAGAAAGGGTGACAATGCAGCTGGGTCACATCAGCTTGGGTGAAGGGGGATTCCCCAGTAAAGTGGAAAGGGAAAAACATGGGAAAAGGTCCTGCTTTTGCAGAGCTGGAAATCCCACTGGCATCTGTGGGAGCCAGGAATACCTGGAGCTCGGGCATCCCACTGCCGTAGATGGTGAGCAGGAATCAAGGCAGGGAGGTAGGGAAGAAACCCCCAAACAGAATTAAAGAGGGTTTGTACCTAACCAGGATTAGGAGCATGATTTGGATCTGCACTATCTGGAATGGATGAGGAGTTAAATAAA